GGGAAAATGCAGTTCAGTATGTGGCATGTCCCACTGGCGAAACATGAACCATCACAAATTGGTAGTTGTTTCACAAACTGGTTTTGTTTGTGAAGTGGTAGAATGGCCCCCCCTCCATGCTAGAGTGACCGAACTCACAAGGGATCTCCATCTGACTCTCCTCTACCTGCTCTCCAAGACTGGTTAGGATTGGATTTATGGGGTCTGAGTTACAGCCCATCAAAAAGGTGCCCCAGGAAAGTGTATAGAACAGATCCCGTGCAAGCTAGAGGCATCAAAGTCACAGGGGACCTCCCCCAGATGCTCCCCTACATGCCCTCCAAATTGTTGCTTTGAAGTTCTGCATACATTTTGATTGAGTGGAGACAGTCTGTCTGGCAATGTCTCTACTCATGAACTGGCACGAACCTCCACAAACAGCTTGAAAGTTCGTGGGAAGTTTGTGCAGGTTGACATGCCATGAACTTTTCTTCGTGAAGCACGAACCAGCCAAAATTCATCATAGAGAGCACTGATTCTCTATGTACAGGGCTTGTGGCTACTGGATCATACGTGGTCATTTAGGTATGATTCCACATTCCTGACTCATTTCTGCTGATATACCCCAAGTGACTGACTGCTCCCACAATGGTTTTTCTTTTCCCCAAAGAGGTAAAGATTCTTTGCATATGAGTAGCTGGGTGACCTTGGGTCAGTCACAGTTCTCTCAGAGCTGTTCTCTCAGCCCCACCTACCTCACAGGGTGTCTGTTGTGGGGAGAGGAAGGGAAGGTGATTGTAAGCCACTCTGAGTGAAGGGCAAGGTATAAATCCAACTCTTCTTTTTTTCTGCAAGTGTGTTGCCAGGCATATTATTAGAGCTAGCTCTCTGATAGTGCTGCAGTGCTGCTATACCATTGTAGACACGGGTATGGCAAATACTCCAAATAGGCACTTAAGTACGGAGAGCCGTGTGCGCAGCAGGTGGGCTGATGTACTTCCACTTGCCCATTTTACTTTGAAGGCTGGAAAATTTAATCTCCTATGAATAGTCATGCACAGGAAATTTGCCTGCTTCCCCAATCTTAATGCAGTTATCATCCCAGTGTCAATTAACTGAAAGTATTTTGAAGTCATCTTGAAAAATGACAGAATGTGCAACTACACCTCCTCCCAAACCCATCAGACGGCCAGAGCTGGAAAACCTGTAATCCTTGGATTAGGTTATATTATATAGAGAGTGACAAGTTACAGATATGGAACAAGTAAAGCAGCTGTGGCTCCTGAATGCAACATTGCACTCCAAACACATCTAAATCTGAGCATGGGTTTCTAATCACATACTATATGAAAGATAGTTAAAGGCACCTTGCTTTTTTTTTTTTTTGCATGGGGGAAGATTCTCATTAGTGCAACACAGATGTTTAGTGAAAAATATTAGGGGTGTGCAGCAAAAAAATGGTATTTTTCAGATCTGGATAAACTGGACCTGGAAAATATTGATAATCCTGTTTTCCTGGGTTCCAAATACAGGCACGATATTCAGATCCAAGTTTCTGATATTTTTCAGCTCCATTATTTCCTATGGGAAATCTTTTCAGGAGACTGGGAGTAGAAATCTTTTTGGATTTAGAGGAACATTTCACAATTTTGTGATATTGATGAGTCTTGTGTAAATCTACCCCTTTGACCAGAAATAACTATGGAGCCTTCTCAATTGTGTAGGCACACCTGTCAAATCCCTTCTCCAAAAAGGGCCACTTTGCAATTCCACTAGTGGCCCAGAAAAAACTTTTTCCTTCATCTGCTTCTGATGGCTACTAAAGTTGTCTTAGCTAGCTGTGGAAAACCTACTTTTAAGGGCCATTAAGGGCCATTAAGTACACTTAAGCTCCTTAATAATGGTTTCCACCAATTTACCCGGTATCGACGTTCCATTTTATTCTCAATCAGAAGTAAGTTCCATTTTATTCAATAGGGGTTATGCTCAGGAAAGTGTTCGTAGGAGTATAACCTATGTGAAAAATATTTGTCACAGATCAGCTTTCCAAAACAAATTGGCTGCTTCCAGATGTGAGCACTGTGGTTTATCATTATGGAATCAAGCATCCTCAGGCCCACATACTCTTTCCACTGCATGTGGCTTGGTAACAACAAATTTTGGTTTCTTTTCTTGCCTGCAAACCAGGGTTCTAAACTATGGTTTATGTTTGTAGGCAATGGAACAATCTGCAGTTTGCTGTTTCATCTAATTTGGATGAAACAATAGACTGTACTTTGCTGGGAACATGGAGATTTTACAGTTCCTGAGCCACAAGGGTGGGAGAAGGTGAGCGTGTGAACTTGAGGACTTCCAAGGCTTATTCCTGTAATGACAATTCTGGTTTGTTGTTCCATCTAAGCACATACCTATCCTGCATTTTTTTTACCTTAACAGACAAAAGTCATCACACGCACACATATATACACTCCATAGAGACAAGTGGGATCAAGAAACATGCTGGGTTTTTCCATTTTATTCTCAACCTATAGGTCAATATACCTTGGAAACAAAGGGAACAACCTAGTTTTAACCAGATGAAACCAGACGTGCAGTCCAATCCTATGTGTATTTAAGTAAAAATGACATATTTTCAAATAAGCACATATAGGATGGTTAACTTAAGACTGTTCAGCTTCTTCTGGATGTCACACCAGCCTATAACCAACTACACTCATTTAAAAGAAGAAGAAGAAAAGACATTCCCTTATGTCAGCTTCTCACAGTCAAGGGCACGATGCAAACCTGTGTAGGTGCGGGTTTCTTCTTTTCAAAGCTCAGCTTCCTCTCAAGAAAAGTTGTGTTGTTGCTTTCCTTAACAAAATTCAGACTGTACACCTCTTCCAGCACCTGATACTGAACTTCAGAGATATCTTGACAAGAGAGCTGAAAATATACAACAGGTTAGAAATGATGTACAGTCACAAACGGGAGAGCCAGTGGGGTGCAGTAGCCATGGCCTCTTGGAGACCCTGGTTCAATTGCCCCAGCTTGCTACAAAGCTTGCTGGGTGACCTTGGGTCAGTTACTGTTCCTTGGCCTAACCAACCCCACCTTCCAAGGGGAAAAATCCATCAGGGTGAACCATTATGCCTCTCTGAGCTCCTTGGAAACTACTTACAAAGACCAGCGAAGATTTTTTTTTAAATACTGCATTACTTCCGATAGTGAATTGGGCAGACCATAAAATGGAGCTGACACCTGTTTCCCTTATAGGGCCACACAATAAATAGAAACCTATCAGAAAAAGCCTTTCTCATTGTTTCTTCTCTGCACTGGGGATGGCTGCACCTGCTTTTAAGAACATAAGAGACGCCAATGTTGGATCAGGCCAAAGGCCCATCCAGTCCAACACTCTGTGTCACACAGTGGCTAGAAATACCAGGTGCCATCAGGAGGTCCACCAGTGGGGCCAGGACATTAGAAGCCCTCCCACTGTTGACCCCCCCCCCAAGCACCAAGAAGACAGAGCATCACTTGCCCCAGAGCCCCTATCTATACCTTGGGGCTAATAGCCACTGATGGACCTCTACTCCATATGCTTATCTAATTCCCTTTTGAAGCCATCCGTGCTTGTAGCCACCACCACTTCCTGTGGCAGTGAATTCCATGTGTTAATCACTCTTTGGGTGAAGAAGTACTTCCTTTTATCCATTCTAACCCGACCACTGTCACACACTGTCTCGACATTTTCAGTGAGTTATCCACTACAACTCCAAGATCTCTCTCTTGCTCAGTCTCTGCCAGTTCAGACCCCATCAATGTGTATTTATATTTAGGATTTTTGGCTCCAATGTGCATCACCTTGCACTTGGCCACATTGAACCCCATTTGCCATATTGCTGCCCACTTGCCCATCCTTGACAGATCCCTTTGAGTGCCTCATGATCCTCACTGGTTTTCATCACCCTGAACAACTTTGTATCATCTGCAAATTTAGCCGCAAATTTGAATAGTGAAGGAGACCTTCTAAAGACAAGCAGTTCTCATCCCTAGATTCTTGCATACTACTAGAATTCTTATGTGTTCAGGGAAAAAAATGTGGGTCCCAGTATCCCCTCATTGGTTGCCATATTTCTTTTGTTGTTTTCCTCTCTTTTTTAAGCCTGCACTGTGCATGAAACAAGAGCTAAGCTCCTCACCATTCTTAAAGAAGAGGAGGTGGGGAATCCATTGTTCGGTTGCATATATTAATTTATTTTAATATATGCATTCTGAAAATTGCCTATTACCTAGCAACAGTGCTGAGTCAAAGGAGGAAGAAAAGCATCCAGCCAGGTGGCTCAAAACCTGGTTGAGAAAGTATACAATTAATGCCACTAGAGAGTGCTGTAAACACACTGGAAAAGCTGAAATACACAAAAGAGGAACAAGCTGGGAGTGGAGTCACTTTCTGGAACAGCCATCAGGGACACACAGGATTGCAGCGTTAATGTAGTCCAGGTCAGATTAATGCGATGTTTGTATTTGAGTTCCTCGTGGAACAAATTAGCAAGACCAGTCTTCTGGTGGAGAGGCACGGTATTCAAACAGCCCTGTCTTTGAAAGAACACTTGACTTTCATAAATGCTGAAGATATATTAGTTTTAATCATGAAAACTAGACCTGGGCAGAAAGGCACACTCTAGGAATTTCCCAGATCTCTACTGTTATTACCACAGAATTTAGACAGTTCTAGGAGGTATAAACTGATATAGATCTAGGAACTGGATTAATCAAAACTCTTCAGACCACAGTCCAACACCTTACTCTTCTCTAAAGTCGGAGTTGTTCCCACAGGGTTCCCACAAGTTGTTTCATCCATGCAGTTAACTTCACTGCCATCTCACCGGACCATCCTCCTAAGATCATACTGTGAACCTTCTTGGTTTTCATTATGGCATGTATGCTTTTTAAAAATTGCTTTCTCTCTGTTTTACACAGACAGAGACAGACAGACAGATGCTGGCTCTTGGCTGGCAACCCCAGGGAGTTTCAGGGACTTGGAGACTCTGGAAACTACCATCCCACAACTCCACTTCCAGGTACGTACTAAGAAGTGATGTCATGGAGTCAAGCAATGCTCTAGGAATTTCCCAGATCTCTATGGTTATTACCACAGAGTTTAGACATTGCTAGGGTATCATGGAACACCAGTCACTTCCCCCTAAGCACTTCACAGTTTATGTACGCACACACCTGTGTTAATTTCTGGTGGAAAGCACTTCTGGTGGAAAGTAGGGCAGGAAAAACTTTGAGGAATGCACTGCCTAATGCAGGCTGTTGTGACACAATGGTTAGATCAAAGTTAAATATATTGTATGATTTATTGGATGTAATTCTCAGGAAGTTTGCCAGACAAGATTGTATACCCATGGACAAGGGCTTGTCTCCTTTAAGCCCTTGAAAATCACTTAGCTATCAGGCGCTTAAGGCTAATAAATACTCCCAGTATGGATGCAGCAAGGGTCTACTTACATGCCCAGGAGATTCTCCAGTGGAACAGACTTGCAGGGCTGATGCCATCAGATCTCTCAGGAGAATGATGAAGCTGCACAGGCAGTTTGTCACAATTTCCTTTGCTGCCTCATTGAACCTCTGAAGCTCCTCTACCAGCTGAGCATTGAGAGCTTCATACTCTTTTCTGGCCAGGTCCATCTCATCCCCTGCGGCCTTTTGGTGGTAGCCATGGTAGTCCAGCAGTTTGTCATAACGTTTTTGAATTAGTTTCTGAGGTCCTGGGAACAGGGCTTGCAATACCAACAGCGGAGTCAAAACCATCTTGTCCAGTTGGCTTGCCTTCATACACGTCCGGCAGGAAAAAAAATGAAAACAAGTGCTGAAGACAACTCACCAAACACTTATTCATTAAAATTAACAATTCTTCCTGAACCCAAATCATATGCATGAGAAAATAAAGATATAGCTAGCTTATTTCATAAGAACCATAAAAAAGAGCACTAATCGAACACATTTCACTCTAGACTTCTGTGTATCTTGTGTTGAATGAGTTAAAACTACTCAGAAACAAGCAGGTCCCTGCAGTAAATAGCAGCCACTTACATGTTAACTATCAGAAACAAGCAGGTCCCTGCAGTAAATAGAAGTCCCGCTTGGGTAAAGTTACATGTTAACTACTCTGGAAATAGACAGGAGTCTTCCTGCACCTTAAACGGTAAAAAATTTATTCCAACAAAAGCTTTTGTGAACCAAAGTCTACTGCTTCTGATGCTTTGAAGAAGTGGGATCTAGTCTATGAATGCTTATGCTGGAATGCAATTCTGTTAGTTTCTAAGGTACTGCAAGACTCCTGCGTATTATTTTGCGACAACAGACTAACAAGGCAGTCCCTATGAAAACTCTAGGAAACCAATGTGATTAGTTTCAAACATTAAGGTATCCAACCACCTATTGCGTGATTGAAACACTAACTTATGTCAGGCATGTCAGGTCGCCCTCCTGTTCTTCCCTTGTGGTTCTGAAAGAGTGGGCGTTTGATGTGCAATAAATCTGGACTCCTGGAAATTGTGCTTTTAAAAGCCAATTATTTTCTCCTTGCTAGATTTTGTTGTGGAACTTTATCCATATGCAACAGGAACACAGCATCTGCAAACATTCTGTCCTTGCAAAGCTGTAGATTTAAAGAACTCACAAATCTGTCATAGGGGTTTTCAGCATTCGTTGATGTGTTCAGAGAGCCAGAGTCCTCTCTCTCATGCAGAATATCCTGAAGGTCAGTGGCATTCTGAAAAGCTAGGTGCGTCGACTCCTGGAAGGAATTAAATGGGCAGGCTTGGAAAGTGAATCGTGAAAGAGATCTTACAAAATACCTGCTAATTTGTGCAAGAATACTCAGGACAGGCATACACTTAAGGAAACAAGCTGCTAGGCATGTCATTTATCCCCCGCCAATTACATGTCTCCTATTTTTTTATGTTTGTCAATGAATGGAATCCACAGTAAGTGAGCTAGAAGGTGACTTCACAAGCAGGGGAAAGGAAATGGTAGAACGGACTTGCTCCATATCACCTCGCAGGTGGAGAATCACACTTTTATAAAAGCCCATGAAGGTCCCTGAAAGTAACCCATTGCCCAGCAACAACTTTTTTTTTGTTTTGCTCGCAGGGATTTTGCTTTGCCAGCTCCCACTTGCAGCTCCAAAGCTAGTGTTATGGGGTCTGTCACGTTATTCTGCTGCATGCACGTAGATCAGACCTTCAATTCATAATCCTTTATTTTTTAAAAAAATGAACAAACTACTTGCCAGGAGTCGTATTGAGGCTAAAACCAGTGCATGATTTCATGGCTACTTTAGTCAGCTTTAGGCAGAAAAGGAAGTGGATTTGCCTGAGCAAAAATCCCCCTGACTCAAGACACTGTGGGTCATTCTGCTAAAAGAAAAAGCCCTAAACCACGATGACAACAAACTTCTTCACAGAAGCAGCTCTTGTGTCCTTTTCTTAACAGATAGGTGAACCTGTAGCTTTTCTTGAACACCGCTCTTTCATTCCAGGACCCATCCCAGTGAAACAGCAAGATTATTACATAAGGATACCAACCTCCAGGTGGGGTGTGGAGTTCTCCTGGGATTACAAATGATCTCCAGAAACGAGGGTCAGTCCCTCCGGAGGAAATGTCCACTTTAGCGGGTGAATTCTATGGCATCCACTCCTTGCTGAGTTCCATCTCCTTCACAGACTCTGCCTTCTGCAGGCACTGCTCCCAAATCTCCGAGAATTCCCCAAACCTGTGTCAGCAGCCCTACTCACCAGCCTTCAAGCAGGACACACAGAGTTCTTTCAGAATTATAGCTGATCTCCAGACTACAGAGATCTGTGTCCCTGGAGAAAAGGGCAGGTTTGGCCTGCAGACTTTACAGCATCACACGCCTACTGAGCTTCCTCCCCTCCCCTCCCCGCAAACCACCTCCAAATCTAGAGGAATCCCTCCACCTGGAGCTGTCAGCCCTACACTATGCAAAGTTACAAAGCCTCCCAGATCCTAGTCCAACATGCTAACTGCCACATCACACACATTTGGCTTAAAATCTTAAGTGCTTGCTTTTTGAGAGAAATGGCACTTTCCACTCCTGCAGACCCAACACAGCCACCCTCTCAAACTATCTAAAGAAGCATAATGGCAAAAAAAACCTCCATGAAGTTCCTCCAACAGTTACTTCCAAGCAAGCAGGTGTAGAATCTGGCTGCACAAGCTATGCACTTTCCCTTGTAAGTCAAGAGCTTTAAAATATCCCTCCCAAAGAGCTCAGACCAAGTTGCAGTGGAGCAGTTTCCTCCTTCACTTGGATGAAGAAGAAGAGAAGAAATTGGATTTATACCCTGCCCTTCACTACCCAAAGGAGTCTCAGAGTGGCTTCCAAACTCCTTTCCCTTCCTCTCCCCACAACAGCCACCCTGTGAGGTAGGTGGGGCTGAGAGAGCTCTGACAGAAACTGCTCTTTTTCAAGAATAGCTTTTATCAGAACTATGACTTGCCCAAGGTCATCCAGTAGGTGCAAGTGGAGGAGTGGGGAATCAAACCCGGTTCTCCCAGATTAGAGTCCACGCACTTAACCACTACACCAAACTGGCACGTAACCACTACACCAAACGTTTGCCAGTAACTTGTGAACTTGCTGCAGGACTGATGAATCACACTCACCTCCAGATGTTGTGAAGACAACGAAATATTCTTCACACAGAGTTTCACGGTCTTTTCTAAACTTCTAAACAATTTTTCTTCCTTGTTAAAAATTTCATCTTTAACCTTTGAAAAATGGGAACAATACAGTTAGGATGAAAGACCAATCTTTACTTGCAGACCCTTAACAGAGCTATGTAATGAAGGGTCTCCGTTAGGCTGGCCTCCTATCCCTTAATTCAAGGACCCGTGCCCTATTTAATATTACTTCTGCTTCTTCTTCCAGTTCTGCTGCTGCTGCTGTGTCATTGTAGGTTTGCAGGTTACAGATACACACCTGAACAGCATACTCAAGATTGCAACTGCACAGACATTTTGATGCAATAATTCAGAGCAAGAGGTGTCAGTTATCAGACACTGTCAAATAAACAAAATATTGCAAGAGTGCTAATGTTTTAAGCATGTTTTTATTTTAAGTTTAAAAAACCCTTTGTGTTTGTGTCCTTTATAAAGTTTATATCTCCGCTACCTGGCATGACATTTTATGACACGCATGGCCCCGCCCAACAAGGTCTCATTTATGTCAGATCCGGCCCTCATGACAAATGAGTTCAACACCCCTGTGGTAGTGGACTCGATGCTAGCTGTTTGACTGCAGACCAACACAGCTACCCTCTGAAACGATCTAAAAAAGCACAATGGCACAAAACCTCCATCTAGATCAAACATACAAAAGTTTGTGCCTCTTTATACAATACGGCCAGAAGAACAGCACAATCAATTATTATTCTCTCTCTCTCTCTCACACACACACACACACACACACACACAAATACAAAATCCTGCTAGTCTGATTGCTTGCTTAGAATATACATTCTAACAAACATAGTTCTAAAACTTTAATAACAAGTTTTGATAGTTCTTTACAAACAAACATATTAAAGATGCACCTAGTATTTATTTGGCGCTTGACATACATTACCACCAAAATCTTTACACCATCCAGTTTGGTGTCGTGGTTAAGTGCGCGGACTCTAATCTGGGAGAACTGGGTTGATTCCCCACCCCTCCACTTGCAGCTGCTATATGACCTTGAGGAAGCCATAGTTCTGTCAGAGCTGTTCTTGAAAAAGAGCAGTTTCTGTCAGAGCTCTCTCAGCCCCGCCTACCTCACAGGGTGTCTGTTGTGGGGAGGGGAAGGGAAAGGAGTTTACAAACCGCTCTGCGACTCCTTCGAGTAGTGAAGGGCGGGGTATAAATCCAATCTACTATTATTATTATTATTATTATTATTATTATTATTATTATTATTATTCCCATCTTTCAGAGGTGGGCTTGGGAATGACTAGTCAAAGGGCACCTTGTTGGCTGGGATGCTTGGGCTACTTCCAAGTGTAGTACATTCTCACATAGCCTTGGATGAAATATATACAGGCAATGTAGAGAAGCCAGCTCCAAGTTGAGAAATTCCTAGAGATGTGAGAGTGGAGCCTCAGCAGAGTATAATGTTATAGACTCCATCGTCCAAAGGATAAGACTATTATTGTTTCAGTGTCAGGTCTGTACTCGTCCTGATTTGTTCCAGGGGGAGGCTGGTGTTTTTGATTTGCTTGTGTGACTTTTTTTGTGTGTGCTGAAAAACAGACAGCCTTGAAAATGTCAAACCTGGTTTTCTTTTCTTACGTTGAAGAAATTACTGCAGATGTCAGAGACGGGAAATTATAAGCACTCTGAACCTCTAATTAATGGAAGGAAGGATGCTCATTCATACACAAACTGCATTGCTGCTGCTGCTGCTTTCTCCAAGTCCTTCTCCAGTATTTGAGCTTGAAAAGTGTTGACAAAAAGGAGCACCAAAAACAGAAAGGTCTCGCTGACAAACGAAAAACAACTCCGCTTCACAATTAAGAACGTTTTATTGCGGCAGGCATCAGGATTCTGAGTGCTGCTGGGGCACGCAGGGGCTGTGACCAGAATTTTTTAAGCATGTTAAACAATTCGCAAGAGTTAAGAAGGCAAGGGCATGGGGAGTGCTGTGACTCATTCCATCAGCTTTCTTTTGGGAACCTGAGAATGGTGCCCCCACCAGTCCCAAGTCTCCACAGTTCAGATACAAGGGTCCCTGCCACATGGCAGGAAAAAGGACGCTCGAACTGCGGCTAATGTGAACCGCAGCAAAGTTGAGACGGCGCGGCGGGATCTCACGGATCCCCCGAGCCGCGGCGCCGTCGCTCCCCGGCATGATCAGATGCCGGGGAGAAAGCGACGGTGGGGAGGGGAGCCTGGCGAACTGCGCATGCTCACACATGCGCAGTTCGGCCAGGAGCCGGGGATGCGCTGGCGCAAGGATGCGCCGGCAATCCCACGGTCAGCGTTGCTGCGGCATTTTGCACTTTTTTGGTGCGGAGCAGCGCTGGAAGGGCCGGATCAGGGATGGAGACGGTACGCTTCCCAGATGTTGCGGTGGGATCGCGCCCATTTGCTGCGCCCATTTGCTTCCATCCCGCTCCCGGCCCAAAAGGCCTCGTATGGACAGGACCAAGGACTGTTTTAGCCACCATGGTCACCATCATGGAATAAGGTTGCCAACCTTCAGGTGGTGGCTGGAGATCTCTTGGCATTGCATCTGATCTCAAACTGCTATTTTTGACTTTGGTTAAGATGTAACTGATCTCAAGGAGACAGAGATCAGTTCACCTGGAGAAAACAGCCTCTATGGCAGGGGTGTCAAACATAAGCCCTGGGGGCTGGAATCAGCCCATCCAGGGCTCTTATGTGGCCCACAAGCAACTAGTGCAAGGCAGGGAACAGGAGACTGTTGGGGGGGGGGAATGGGCAGGGCCCCTCTATTTCCGTGGCTTCAGCATGGCAGAATAACCTCATCTGCAGCAGTCAAACAGTATGGGAGCGTCTGCCCAGTGCTGCACCGCTGGCTCTCCAGTCCACCCATATGGGTTTTCCTTTGCACCCCCTTCCAGCCCATGGGGCCTTGTAGTGAGGATACAACAACGAGGAGCTTACCAGCTGCTGTCCTTTATACAGTTTATATATTCGGTACCTGGCATTACATTTTATGGTACACACGGCCTTGTCTGACAAAGTGACATTTATATCAGACCCGGTACTCATAACAAATGAGTTCAACATCTCTGCTTTATGGCATTATACTCCACTGAAGTCCCTCCCCTCCTCAAACCCCACCCTGCTCAGGCTCCGCCCCCAAAATCTCCAGGTATTCCCCAATCTGGACCTGGCAAGCTTAACCACAGAACTACCATGGAAACATTCTTAGTAGATTTTTGTCTATGACAGTGATCCCCAACATGACACTTGTGTTACCTGTAGATATATTTCCTGGTGTCCACTTCCTTTTCCCTAAAGGAAAGAGCCACTCTTGGCTTTTCTGCATCTCACTGGAGAAGGAGGTGCTTCAAAAGACCCCCAGGAGACATCCTAGGGTTTCTACTGGCCTAACAAGGGGAGAGGGGAGCTTGCCGGTGACATAATGACATCACTAGCGACATACTCCCTGTGTGGCAGAAGTGACATCAGCATGTTCCCAGCCTAGGTATCACTCAGGGTGATTTCTCACTAGCGCTGCTCCGGGCTCACTCTTCACTTTTGCCTCGATGGTAGGTGTCAATTTCACACAAGCTGCTGCGGGGCTGCATTTTGCCTCGCAGCTTCGTGCAATTTTCCCCGCCTCTACGCAATCCTGTTTTTTGAGACGCTGAACTGCAGGCTGTGGAAGCTCAGTAGTTCAGCAGTTCGAGACCCGGGTGCCGCATGATGGAGTGAGCTCCCGTCTCTAGTTCCAGCTCCTGCCAACCTAGCAGTTTGAAAGCAAGAAATTGCAAGTAGATAAATAGGTACCACTTCGGTGGGAAGGTAACAGCGTTCTGTGTGCCTTGGTGTTTAGTCATGCCGGCCACATGACCACGGAAACGTCTTCGGACAGCGCTGGCTCTTCGGCTTTGAAACGGAGATGAGCACCGCAACCCTAGAGTCGGATTTGACTGGCTTTCGAGCAAGGGAACCTATACCTTTACTATATATCATTATCTGGTTTCTGAAAATAAAAATATATTTTTAAAAGGTATATCATGACTAAAATAAACATTGTGTTACTATTACTCTTGTTATCTTTGTATTTACCTTTCTACTAAAATAACTACTATGAAAGTACAGGGGGTGCAATTGCACATTGCCTGGGGTGCAGAATTAGCTATTTATGGTTCTGCTCTACCTCCAATGCTGTAGCAACCTCCTCTGAAGTCTATAGATAGGAACCTGGTATAAGAACACATGACCTCACACGAGCACAAAGGACCTGTTCTTTTCCCTAATAGATGGGAAATACTCGGAGACATTATCTTTTCCCCCCATTCTGGGCTGCCAGTCAAATTAATTTTGACATTTGAAAGCACTTTGCCTAGAAGGCAAAATGCACTGCCCTTAATAATCGGCATATGAATACTGATGAAGTGTAGCAGGGTGAATCACATACAGAAAAGGATATTTGCCACAGCTATTATACCTGGGAGCAGCACACCCAATTTCACTTAAGTGCTGGTTCTGGGGGGATGCTACTCAGTGGTACCCTTTGGTTCAAAGTCACAGGGTTTTGACACAAAAGAAAGAATTAAAAGAACGTTTTGATCATACACTAGGTTGTCCTGATTTGATGCAAAGCAACAACAGAATAAGAAATCTGGCATATGAAGAATCTTCTTCCTAAAGATCAGCTGGTTCCTTTCTAGCCCACATGAAATTGAGAAACAGGCCAGACAGAGCATTCGAATTTCCCTGAAGCAAAAGCTGCAAAGGTGGGTTCTCTTCTCTCTGCCTTCCTCTCCCTGGTCATCCTATGAAGGAAGACTGCTGCATTAAGCCTGGGGAGACTTAGTTCAAATCCTCATTTGCTGTGAAGCTCACGGGGGCTATTTCCACATAAATATTTTGCTCCACACCTTGGCTTCCTTATTATACCTCAGTTTTCGGGAGCATCTGCCATGACATCATCCTCTATTCATCCCGTTTCTGTGCTTTCCTCTGCTTCGGTGAGATCTTTCCCAGACATTTTCTACAACCTTTTGGGAAAGAGCGGAATCTTAATCTAGGCACCCTTGCTTGAAAGGCTGGCCCAAATGTTTTTGGTCCGTAAGGTTTTTCTCCTTCCACTTTTTCTCTTTCTCCCAAGCTTCAGGGAAGCTGCCCCAACTCATTTCACCCTTACTAGGGCTGAGGAGATTGCTTGCCATGGTGCCATGCCTCCCAAAAGGGGCAGATCAAGAGGCAACCAACTCTAGAAAGGGGGGCTGGCCCACCTGTGACCCTACCCCCATACTGGAGGGCGGAAAGGAGCAGGTGTGTTACAGGCCACTCACTGGAATCAGGAGTAACACTCAGGGTTGCTGCTTGCCACAGCAGACCTCAGTGCTGTGGACAGGGCAGCAACAGGGCTGGTTTGGGCACACTCCACCTCTGACACCATAGGCATGCTCAATAGATGGGCCAGCCCTGTTTGAATACAATGTGGGTGGGAAGGTGTGCATTTTTGCAGGTCCTGCCGACGTCAGCGCCAGTATCTTTGCCTCACTCCCCATGCTAACCATTTCTCCCCTGTGGTGGTGCACGCTTTTTTTTAAAGTGGGAATTGCTAGACTGCTTTATAATGATCTGTTCCCATGATAGACTAATTCCAAGCTTTCATTTAAAAAACAAACAAACATTTTTGGCCCTTTTGTTGCAGAGTTATAATGGAAAAGGTATAGGCCAAACGCTTTTCCCTTTTAACCCCCTAACAAAAAGTGCTAGATACATTGAAAGGATGAAAGCTGGAAACTAGGACCTTGTCCTAACAGATTGCACAATAACAATACACCAATCCCTGATTTTTTTTAAAAATGCCCTCTGGTAGAAAAGGAGGAAACTGTAGCTTTGCAGGGCTGACACAAGGAAAACACAGAGGAAATTCCTATGTGCAATGCCAATTTGCAGCAGCAGTAAGAGCTACACTGAGAATCCTCTCTGTGTAGAAGTAGTTCACTTTGTTCAGTCATGTTCTCTCAGCCTAATCTACATCATCAGGACTGTTGTGAGGATAAAATGAGGAAGGGGGAAGGGGGGGGCCTTAAAAGTCTTAATAATAATGTTATTGTGCCTGTTCTTCTTCTCCATCACTGTCATAGTTCCCAAACTAGACACTGCAAGCACCCAACCTTGTCATCAGAACTAACAGCGCAAAATAAACACCTTTTAAACAAATGCAACTATTTTTGTTTCTTCCTGAGCATCGAGTTTAAGTTTCCTTGGGGAAGAACAAATAGCTCTCTGGCTGTGAGCCTTCTTGTTTATCTGGAGTACATTTATTCCAGCCTTTCTCCAAGGAGCTCAGGGCACTAGGAATGCCAAATCGGGCCGGGGGGCGGGGAAATCCCTGCTTTGGAGACCCGATTTCCGCCGCGGCGGAATTGGGCCCCAGGGGAACTCCGCCCCCGGCGTGCACGTCACTAGGAAGTGACATGGGCACGCCAGGCACGCTGGGGGCGGGGCCACAGCCATACAAGGGAAAACTCTATGGTTTTCCCTTGTATGGCCGTGGCCCCGCCCCCAGCGTGCCCAGCGTGCCTACGTCACTTCCGGGTGATGTGCACGCTGTGCGCGTGCGCAGTCACCCGACGCCGGCCGAGAGCCCCCCCCCCGCTCCCGGCGAAGACTGATTTGGCAACCCTACAGGACACCCTATGTCGTTTCCCCTTTTCCCTTTTATCCTCACAACCACCCTGTGAGATAAGTGCTAAGAAAGAATGACTGGCCCAAGGTTACCTAGTAGTAGTAGTAGTAGTTGTTTATTACAGCCTTTAGACCAGCATACAGTTTAGTCAAACATTATTTTCAATTTTTTTTTAATTTAAAAGCTTTTAAGGTGCTATTCCCGTAATTTGAAAATTAGTGCATAGAATTTAACAACTTGACATGTGGTTTTAGAATTATCATCAGATAAAAGCCAATGAAATCTTGCTTTATTTGTATTTACATGGCTGGGGATTATATTAAGTAACAGCAGGGCTTTTTTTGTAGAAAAAGCCCAGCAGGAACTCATTAGCATAATAGGCCACACCCAGCAACAAAAATTTATTAGCATATTAGGCCACACCCCTGACAGCACAGCCTATTAGCATATTAGGCCACACCCCTATGCCTTCCCTTGGCTTGCCCGAGCACCCCATGGCTGCGGGGAGCCCGGGCAAGCTGGACCTTGGACAGGCCAGGGAAGGCCTTCCAGGGGGTCCCCTTGCCCATCCGCCTCGGAGCCATAGGGGTCACTCTCCAGGCCTTCCCTCTGTAGCTACACACAGAAGTTTTGGCTGTAGTGGGCGTGGCCAACGCTGCAGCCAGCCGGAACTCTGTTCCTGTGCGTTCCTGCCCAAAAGTAGCCCTGAGTAACAGAGTAATAATTCCAAGACGTACCACCCTACAGAGTGGACAGCTAAAGGACATGTGCTCTACAGACTCAACCTCCCCAAGGGAACAAGAGCATAACCTTTCTGGATAGGGGGTTGTATTGTAACTGCCCTCAATAACCACGGAGGGGAGAGCAAAACACCTAGCTAGAGTAAACGCCCTTCTAAAACTATTCGCTCCCACCAAGGCCAGATATGTTGCCGGCTCAACAGCAAGTTTCACATCAGAGTTGGCACTTGAACCCAGGACTCCTCAATTCTAAGCAGTGACTATTAAGCCACACCAGCTTTTTACAGATGCTATAGGACAAAATACTGGACAGCTCAATACCTGAGGTTCTCCGCCGGTCAGGATTTTCAAGTGACTAGTGACTCTCTTGGACTTTTTACTAATGGAGTGAATATTCAGCCTCGAAAATTTCTCTTTCAGCGATTCATCTTCATCAATCTTCTTGTACTTCAGGACTGCAATTATACAAATAATGTCAACGCTAACAATTTGCATTTACTGGGCTCCAGTCCAGCCCTACTTTCGAATGAAGCCGTGTGAGACCAGAGAGCGGCACAGAGGTTATTTTCTGTACTCGGGGAAATAAGAGAGATGATGGAAATCCTTACGACCATATAAGCTTTTAAAAATCCATCTCTCTAATTGCTCCTCTTGTTTGCAGTCCTACCACTGATGCTATTTATTGCGGAATGCATAATCCTATGCCCTATAATAATTTCCTTGCCTTTGCTATCTAAATCCCTGGCAAGTCTGCTAGGGAGAAGCTCAAAAATAACAAGAGAAATGCCTCCTTGTATGACGTGCCTTAAGAAAATGTAAGCAGCACTTTGAGTATTTCAGGCCTCTTATCACTAGTTGGATGGAAAGTTAGCACTTCGTATTAAAACTTCTGCCCTTGTGGTGTGTTGACAAACCATGCAGGGGATGCCTGGCCATGGGAAATGCGTCACTTACATGACTTGTCAGCATCCAAGAAGTTGAACCGTGTGAGTGGATACCCAGCCATGAAGTGGCAACAACCACACTAAAAAGGCATGAGAATAGGCCTAGTCCATGAAAGGTTGCCTCCACATAAGGATGGTTCCACATTCTGGTTTCATTCCTGATGTGTATTCAGAGGCATTTGCAGCAACAATGGCACTTCCACATGGAGTTGTTCACTACAGTATCCCCTTAGTCTGGTTCACATGTTACAGTGAATGCACTTACAAACTACATGCACACCTGTTTGTAAGAAAGAGTCAGCTCATGTTCACTTTACAAATGAGCCCAGGGATCAGTACCTGGATAAACGTCCAGTTTTAAGCACACTAGCTGTACATGCGTTGAATGTAAAATGAAGATTACTCAACACATGTATAAAGAACAGTCAAGTCTACCCTGTACAAGGACTATGCACGCTTTCACTGTAATTTATAAACAGGGCTCGTGTCTGGAGTGTTTATTGCCTGCTAGGGTTTTTTTTTTGGTTTTTTCAAAAATTGATGGTAGCTAATATATTGCTAGGGGCTGCAGTGGCTCAAAGGTTAAGACTCTGAGCTGCAGACTGGAAGGTCAAGACCAGAGTGCCATGTGATGGAGTGAGCTCCCATCTCTAGTTCCAGCTCCTGCCAACCTAGAAGTTTGAAAGCAAGAAATTGCAAGTAGATAAACAGGTACCTCTTCGGTGGGAAGGTAACAGCATTCCGTGCACCTTGGTGTTTACTCATGCTGGCCACATGACCACAGAAACGTCTTCAGACAGCGCTGGCTCTTCGGCTTGGAAATGGAGATGAGCACCACCCCCTAGAGTCAGATTCGACTAGCTTTTAAGCAAGGGAAACCTACACCTTTACCTTTTACCTAATATATTGCTATAGTTCCAGCCGTGTTGCTATCCTTTCTCCTTCTTAATTAAATCAAAACAACCGTTGACTTTATAACTTTAGCTTGTTATTTAGTTTCACTTTGAATATCTTAAAGCATCTGCATCATGTTACATGTTAAGTTGCTGTTCAGCCTGTATCTATAAATTTGAAATCTAGCTTCCTTTCCAATGTATTTGACAAAGTGTGCATGCACATGAAAGCTCATACCTTGAAAAAACCTTTTTTGGTCTTAAAGGTGCCACTGGACTCTAAATTTGTTATATTGCTATAGCGTATGAATGCTACAGAGATATACCAACCACTACTAAAAATATAGCTGGCAAAATTATTAATAGTAATGTTTTAATGAATTGTTTTAATTAATAATGCAGTTATGTTGTATGCCATGGATGCCATGTTGTGAGCCGCCCTGAGCCTGCTTGCTGGGTAGGGCAGGAGAAAAATCCCAAAATAAATAAATACACATACAAACAAATATAACCCATTGTCTCTCTCTGACCTAAATCCTTCCTTCTTTTAAGTTCATTGATGTTCATATTCATGTCTTTCACGGCCACCAGTGCCTCTTGCAGAGCTCTGTGGTCTGGGTGGGACATGGGTGTCGAATTCAGAAGCTCACACAGCAACAAAGGATACTTCATCACACGCTGTATCGGTTTGATCATCAGAGATCCCATGTCCAGTAGGTTTGGTTTCCCCCTGCCATTTAAACAAGCAAACAAATTAGTTCCTGAAAATGAAGTAAAGAATGACTTTATTTCTGTTTCATTGCCCTTCTCACCACAAATCCACATAAATAAATGTGATTCCATGTACTTACCAATGTGGTTGGTGAAAGTATGTGCACTCTGGAAGAACGTGCAACTAGTCTGAAGGGTCATTATATGTTAATGCTGCACTATACTGTCTATTGTTTCATGAGCTATGTAATTAATGCCTCCTGCTATTTGATGTCATGGGCAGTACAGTCCTATGTATTTATTGGGGAGAACCAACAGAGATGCTTCTTCTTCCTGGACACTGATGGGGGAAACTATTTTTCCCTCACCACTTCTCCCAGAGTCCCATCTCTCTCTTTAATATTTTTTTTATTATAAGGGGTACCAAAAAAAAGAAGGAATAGGGAAAAACCGAAAGAAAATATAATTACCAAAAAACCTAGTGTGAAGGCAGTTTTACAGAAATTAAGAACATTTCATTAAATATATATATATATATATATATGTAAAAACAGTATACAGTATAATAGCTTAACAAATGTTTAACAAAATATATATGGTGTAATGGCATAAGGATAAAGCTTAAAATATATATGAACTATTAACTTTAAAAATCTGTATAATGACCTACTCATTCTAACAATTTCTCATACAATATTTTCATTTTATCTTATCAATCTTATCTATTATCTAGTACAGTATAACACAGATAACACAGAGTATAACATAGATAACACAGAAATTTGTATAAGATTTCATACAACTGTTATAATAAATAACAGTTTGTTATAATAAACAACACATACTACTCTTTTCATTTCACACTTCTCCTATCTCAATTTCTTTTTGGCAGTGTGCATGCCTAATGAAGTCTATGAGGGACACTGGATAAAAATGAGGGACATAGACTCGAGCACTGGCAGGTGTCACCCCCCCCCCCATTATATTGAAGTTCCGTGCAAGAGGAACTTACATGTGAAGAACCTGAGTTGTAGTTTGTGGTTTGGCTCATTTTCTTGAGTCATCTATTTTTATTCTACATATTTTACTGCTATTAAGTATTTTTATTATTGTTATTGTTATTAAGTACTATGATTATTTTTTATCTTGCCCATCTACAAGGAACTTAAGGCAGCATGCATAATTCGCCCTCCTCTATTTTCACAACAACTCTGTGAGGTAAATTTGGCTGACAAGCAATGAACCACACTCATGGCAAAGACGGGATTTGAACCTGGACATTACAAAGAGTCTGATATTCTTACCACTGCTGTGCATGAAGGCCTGATATGATATTGGGGTGGTATTGGTGGGGGGGTGTTAAGCAAATGCAGCTCTACAAATTATATGAGCAGCTTCCTTTTGTGTGGGCTCTGTCCCTGGGTCCCATTTTTAGGCCCTGCCCAGATACCAGAATATTTTTCCAGGAGTTGGTAACCCTACTTCTGTTCCTTGTTGAATCATTATTTATGCAGCTTTCCTGAATTCTTAAAAACCTTAAAACTGTTGTTGCTTTCCACGAACTTTGCTCCCCCCCCCCCCAATGTATCTCTTTAAAAGCTGTTTCATGAACGGGGCGAGGGAGATTTTATTCCGCAATCACCCTTTAGATACCTGCCTAAGTGATAAACAGCTCTCTGCTTGCATATCCGTGTGACACAGTTTAGCAATATGATCTGAAAGATAGCAGGCTGGCTAGCAGATAATGACTCCCAGGGGCGTGCCAATGCTACCAAGTTCAACCCATCTAATTCTGCCCAGTCAGATTACCCAGCGATAACTGTTCTCCTTAGATTAGTTGCTATTTTAACACACATCTTTTAGCATTACCCAGTAGCCCCTAAGAGAGAGAGTGGCCTCCATGTGTCCGTTAAAACAGATGCAAAATAACTTGTGACATCCGTGGTGCCTTAAATAAAGCTGATAATTCATTCGCGATGCTTCTTCAGCCACACCAGTTCCTCACAAATTTTGCCAAAATTCTAGGGCCATACGTAGCTACAATAGTCTCTTTGCATATCACGGCTGTTCCTCTTTGCTCAAATTAATGAAGCTGGCTTAGCGCTAACAGTATCCATTCCCTCAGCAGATGGCAGGCAACAGAATGGAGTCATAGACAGAATAACAGCACGCGCTCACACACACAAAAGTCAACCCAGCTGCAAGCTGATATCAGTCCCATGCATTTTCAGTGAGCTCTTCGAAGAAAGGCAGGGCACAAATGTAGGACAAATATTGCTTGTTCACAAAACAAAATCTAATCAGTACATTCATCTGTCCATTCATTTTTGCACCCATCCTTCCTCCAATAATCTCAGTTATTTGTGGCTCTTCCCTCTAGAGTTGCCAGCCTCCAGGTGGTGGCTGGAGATCTGCCACTATTACAACTGATCTCCAGGCAACAGAGATCAGTTCGCCTGGAGAAAATGGCTGCTTTGGGAGGTGGACTCTATGGCCTTATACCCCATTGAAGTCCCTATCCTCCCTGAGTCCCGCCCTCCTTTGGATCCAGCCCCAAAATCTCTAGTTTTTCCCCAGAGCTGGCAATACTAGTTCCCTCCCATGTTTTATCCCAACAACAACCCCCGTGAGGCAAATCAGGCTGAAAGAGAATGACTGATCCAAAGTCAGCCAGGAAACTTCATGTCCAAGTAGACATTTGTAAAGGTAAAAGGTAAAGGTTCCCTTGCTCAAAAGCCAGTCGAATAAGACTCTAGGGTTGCGGTGCTCATCTCCGTTTCAAAGCCGAAGAGCCAGCGCTGTCCAAAGACGTTTCCCTGGTCATGTGGCCGGCATGACTAAACACCAAGGCGCACGGAACGCTGTTACCTTCCCACCGAAGTGGTACCTGTTTATCTACTTGCAATTTCTTGCTTTCGAACTGCTAGGTTGGCAAGAGCTGGAACTAGAGATGGGAGCTCACTCCGTCGCACCCGGGTCTCAAACTGCTGACCCACTGACCTTCCACAGCCTGCAGTTCAGCGTCTTAACCACTTGAGCCACCGAGGTGCTAATTCAACCATAACACCACACTGGCTGAAATATTATTTGATATCTTCTCTTTATATGGCTCTCTATGATTCCATCCACCTACCCACACTTGTATCTGCATACAAACATGCTGAAGTAGACACCCCTTTCACTGCTCTCCTAGCAGTACAGTCCTGAACATAATTACACCATTCTAGGCCCATTGACTTTGGTTGGGTGTAACTCTGCCCAGGATTGCAAAACAAAAGGCTCAAATAGCCAGCCAGCAAAATCCACAGCTATAAGTCCCACTTGAGAGCCAGTGTGATACAGTGGTTAAAGACCCAGAATTTAACAACCCCCCCCCCAATCAGCTATAGAGCTATAGAGCTTACTAATTTCTCTCTCAGTGATGCTATCTGGACAAAAGAAAGAAAGAGAGGACCAGGTGTGCTTCTTGAAGCTCTTTGAAGGAAGGCTATGATACAAAGGTACAGCATTAATGTATAGAAGCCAACAGGGGACTGAAAGATGACTTAAGGACATACTTAGGGCTGCCAGGTCCCTCAGAGCAGCCGGTGAGGGATGAGGGGCACACTTACCAGGAACAGGGAAGAACACCAGAAATTAATGCAACGTGCCTACGTAAACCCAAAAGCAGCCCCATAGCCAGGAAGTTCAGGGGAGGCTTTGGACTTGGGGGGCATCGTGTCCCCCCCACATATGGTGACATCACTAGTGACATCACCACGAGTGACTCTCCTTCCCCCTCTCCATTCAGACAGGGAGAAGGAGAGCTGAAGTGGAGGCAGCCAGGCGCAAGTTGAGCTGCTCAAGCTTTCCTCCTCCCCCAGGCGCCTCACTGCGTCTGCACCAGCCAGTGAGCCTCCGAGAGCCTTGGATGAGCTGATGAGCTGACGCGCTGGCTGACGAAGACAGAGTGAGGTGCTTGGGTGGGCCATTAGAGAGGCTCTCAGAAAGCTGACAGCCTGGCTGAAGAAGGGTGGGGGTGGAGAGTGGAAAGCTTGTGCTGCGGTGGGGTGGTGGGGCTCCATCCTAATTGCAGGGGGGCTTAGCCTCTAAAGGAGCTGCGGTGGCTCAAGTGGTTAAGACACTGAACTGCAGGCTGTGGAAGGTCAGTAGTTCAGCAGTTCGAGACCTGAGTGTGCCGCATGACGGAGTGAGCTCCCATCTCTAGTTTCAGCTCCTGCCAACCTAGCAGTTCGAAAGCAAGAAATTGCAAGTAGATAAATAGGTACCACTTCGGTGGGAAGGTAACAGCGTTCCGTGCACCTCGGTATTTAGTCATGCCGGCCACATGACCACGGAAACGTCTTCGGAGAGCGCTGGCTCTTCGGCTTTGAAACGGAGATGAGCACCGCAACCCTAGAGTCGGATTCGACTGGCTTTCGAGCAAGGGAACCTTTACCTTTACCTTAGCCCCTAAAGCCCCTCCGCTAGCTATGGCCCTGCCTGGAAGTTATGTAGGTACATCAGGGGGCATTGGGAGGGCGACACTCTGGCTTTTGGGCAAAGACCCTTTGGTAGAATTAGACCCTCATCCCACGGGGGGGGGGTGGCATCCCTATGCATAACAGACCTTACATGTAGAAACACAGTATGTCAGGGAGCAGGACAGGCATAGAACATCCTGGTACCTAGCTCTCTGGGTGTGAAAGGAGAAATCAATCACGCATTCTCACTAGGGATGCTAGCCTATATAAATATTTATGTCAGTCACCTTGGGATCAAAATGCTAAATGGCAAGATTTAAATGTTATACACACACTTGTCTATTCTTTTACAGATATTTTACATTTCCTCACTTTTTGATACATGGCCATCATCAAAGCGTAGCTCTCTAGTGCATTATCCCAGTTTGGGAAACAACTCTCTATCTGGGGACCACTACTACAACATACTTAGCATCATGGGCATTCAGTTCGGCACTGGATCAAGCATTAACCAGGCAATCTGTCTAGCCAGCTTAAGAGAACCACCTGTTCATAATAAAGCACAGTCCCTGCTTATACCGAAATGCAAAACTATCCCCAGAGGTTTCATTGCAGGCACACAGCTTTTTGTGACTGTTAAATTTTTTCCACAGGGTCTCATAGGTGGCATTTATTCTGCTAATCAGCAGCACACCGTCTTTGCTATAAATTCTGGGCTCGGCATAGGGCTTAGAGAGAGGGTTACTATAAAGCTGGAATACCTAGTAGACAGGTATCTCCCAAGCAGGCATCTACAGGCTGAAATCCTTAAGATTTCAAAGAACCGGGGCTATTATTGTGCTTAGACCTTGCACAGTGAAAGGTTTCATGCATCTCGTCTTCAGTCACCGCAGGCCCACCTATAAGCTGGCCCATGAAAAGTAATTGCTTATGAATTATTGACCAATTTGCATTCTGTGTACCACTCACAGTTTATGGCATCTATTTTTGAAGGTGATAAGTGCACATTAATTTGTGGAAATGCAGAGTAAGCTGTTGTGATGTATCTATGCTACACACACACACACACAAGCTTTCCATCTCCCATTCACACAAAAGCCCAGATCTTCAATACTGCTTAAGCTTCACAGAAATCATTTTAACTCAGAATGTCAGGATCTTTGACAGATTCTCCTCCCATTTTTTTTGATGTATCAGGGTCTCTAGGATATCCCAAAGAAAAATTCCCCTCTAGAATCCTTCCATTACAAAGGCACAGCCCCAGAATGGGGTTGTCAAAAACCTGGAGAAAATAATGCCTTGCCCCTTTAACAGAGGCTTAATGCATGGAAGTGGGCAGTTGAAGATTTCCATGGCGCCATAAGAACCAGAGCGGAGGATCCCCTGAGTTTGAGGGCTTCTGCCTGCTGCCAGCCAGCGGGGGGAAGTCCCACCCTCAATGGCCACAACCCAGCGCAATGTCCCCAAAATGATGACATCACACAAAAGTGACATAATCAAACCGGGGACATTGCGCTCTGGTATTTTGGGCAAAACTCTATGGTAACTTTATGGCAAGGATTTGTTGTTGTTGTTTTTTAAGTAAGACTCTAGCCTGAGGTCCCCAACCTTTTAGAGACCACGGGCACCTTTGGAATTTTGACACAGTGTGCTGGGCAAAGCCACAAAATGGCTGCCATGTAGGGCTGCCAAGTCCCCCCAGGGGTGGGGAACCCCCTGCCCCAGAGGCCCGTTCCCCACCGCCAGCGGATCGGGCCCCGGGGGACCCTCGTCCCGACATGCGCGTCACCAGGAAGTGACGTTAGGACGCTGAGCACGCTGGGGGTGGGGCCACGACCATCGGAGGGAAAACTCTATGGTTTTTCCTCCGAGGGTCGTGGCCCCGCCCCCAGCGTGCCCGGCGTCCTAACATCACTTCCGGGTGACGTGCGTGTGGCTCCAGTCGCCGCCCAGGAGTCCCCCACTGTGGCGACTGCAACGACTTGGCAACCCTACTGCCACGGGAGGCAGAGCCAACCATAATTTGGCTCCCACAGCGTACTTTCAGTCACACAGTGAAGATCCTGGGGTGGCAGTTGCTTCCGAATCAACACGTAAAAAAAAATCTGCACAGCCAATCAAATCTCCAAAGGCCAATCAGAAACTTTCCTTGGGCAAAAGCCCCACCAGGCCCTGCCCACTGTCGAAAAACACTTGGTGGGTGCCTGAAAAGGTGTCGGCGGGCACCATAGCACCCACGGGCACCACGTTGGGATCCCTTGCTCTCGTCCGTTCCGTTGCCAGAACATAAGGGAAAAGGCCTCTCTCTACATTAGAGAGGCAGTAGAGACTTAAGTCTTTTTAAAATTAAAGGTGAGAATCCAGAAAACCTATTCAACATATTGTTAGATTTTTTTAAAAAATTGCAAAAGCCCCAGTGGCCCAGGGGAGGGGGTTGGCTCCTGCTGCAGAACTGGAACTACAGGTCCTATGGAAGCCCTGTTGCTGCTGCTGCTGCGCTATATCAGCAGCTGCAGCAGCAACAGGGAAACCACACAAACCTGTCCCTGTTTGGAAACCACCAGATATGTAAAGTTTAAATTTCTGTCAATACCATTTAGGGTTGCCTGGTTCCCCCTGGTCACCAGCCAGATCCAGGCTGGGAAACCCCTGGAGATTTCCACGGGGGGTGCCTGGGGAAGGCAGGGACCTCAGAGGGGTTCAATGGCATAGAGTCCACCATCCAAAGCATCCATTTTCTCCAGGGGGACACGTCTCTGTAGTCTGGAAATAAGCTGTAATTCCAGGCAATACCCAGGCCACACCTGGAGGCTGGCACACCTATGTACCAGCTCAAGTATACCTATATGTCTGTTATTGGAACAGGTTGATTGGTTTAGTAAGGTAAAACTCTGCCTGAACATTTTCAGACACCATTCTAATTGTGAGGATTTTATTTTAATAGATCTTTTATATTATTACTATTATTATTTATTAGTATTTTCATTTTAAATCCCACTGAGACTCAAGGCAGGATATTAGCATGATTAAAAAAACCCTTTTCAGTCAATCAGTAAGTGGATTGAATACGATAACATTTGAGATTTTCCTTTCCGTTTCTTTAAAAAGAGAGATAGTACATACCCTTCTTCATATATCTTTCTGCAAAGAAGAAAAAAAACAGGTGTTAGCCACCCTCCAAAGAAAGTACATTCATCTATTTATTATACAGATTTATATCCCACTACGGCAGCTTACAATAATTCAATTAAAATAAGCACTATATCAATAAGATTCAATAGAACCATAAAACACAAAGCAGCCACAAACACCCAGCTGCCAGATAGCTTTTAAAAATCCAGTAATAATAGCCAGGGCCCATCATCAAAAATAGAATAAAATTTTCATACATACTTTAATTCTCTGCTCTTATGACTACAGTCCTGAGCATTAACAATTCAGCATAACAACAACAGAACAGTGATAATAATAATTATAACAGTGAGCACACCTATAACAGGTAAAACATCAGATTATCCAGATCTAACTATCTATTAGATTTAATTTTATAAGAGTAGTATCATGGTCGCTTCTGGCCAAGAGGGTCTGATTCCATAACTTACAGTGGGCTGGAAGACCAGCCAAGCCCTTTAGGAAGGGAGAAACAAGCATGGTTCTATACCTATGAAATTCTGGACAGTACAATAAGCAGGGTACCAGAGTGTCATGACCCCCTGTGTCATGACTACAGAATCTTTCAACTAATGGAATCCTCTCAAAGCAGCCTAAATGTTCTGCCATTGGAACTGAGTTACGTTGAGCCAAGATAAAGGCTTATCAATATGCAGGAAAAATCTTCATACAATAGTCAATCCAGGATTGCCAGTTGCCCAGAAAAAAATGTTCTACACCTTTAGTACAGGTACAAGGGGTGGCCCCGCGATACTCGCGGGGGGGTGGACCCGCGATACTCGCGGGGGGGGGAGGGAGGCAGAGGAGGAAGCAGGAGGAGGAGGTAAGTACCCCCCCAT